CTGATCAGGTTGCAAAAGGGGATTGCGTGACCCCGAAGGGACACGGCGACCGTCATAAGTGCGAACCAGTTGCCAAGCATCTTGAATTTTGATCACGTGATGACGGTTTTCTGCGAAGGTTGAAACCATGAAAAAAAAAAACCGTTCACCGGTCGCATTTTTCAATGCCATTGTAACTTGGAACGGTCACTAAACGAACGGTTGTAAGTCAAGGACTACCTATATCTTGTGTTTTGGAAGATTGGTTTCCCACCGTAAGATGATGCTGATGAGATCAAAACAGGAAAGATAGATTCTTAGAAGGCAAAAAAAGGATGCGCCGCTGTGGCGCATTGGTTAAAGTGCGGTACTGCAGGGCTACTTCTGCTGACTGCCGGCTGCCTGTAATTTCGCAGTTCAAATCCCACCAGGCTCAAGGTTGACTCAGCCTTCCGTCCTTCTGAGGTCAGTAAAATGAGGACCCAGATTGTTGGGGGGGACAAGAGGCTGACTCTGTAAACCTCTTAGAGCGGGCTGCAAAGTGCTATAAAGAGGTATATAAGTCTAAATGCTATGTCAGGATTTCGGCAGTTCCTCCAATTAAATCATAAGCCTCGAGCCCCGCTCCCAAAACTAAAAAGGATTTATTAGAAGTTAACCTTCCGGCATTAGCCTGAGATATGTAATTCACTGTCATCCTTGATCCTTCTTTTCCCTCCACCCCTCTGGGTGTATCATCCTTAGCCATTGCTAAGTGCTGTGACCCTGTTATGAGCATCGCCAAATAATTCCAGTGTCTGCGCTTACATTCTGAATGTCAGTTTGGGAATTTGTCTAAGAAAATAAATTTTATAGCCTTTTCAAAACCCTCTTGTGAATCTCCCTCGCTGGGGGCCTCTTGATTAAGACCCCTTTGTCTTCAAAAGGCTGAATAAGCTAAATTTGGGGTGGATTTTATCCTTATTATTCCAGGTAGTCCCTCAATTTACCGTATCGATCCTTTTTTATTAGTTTTACAATAGAAAACACAAAAACACAAAGGCAAATCATGGGAAAAAGAGGGAAGAGAAAAGTGTAGAGAAGAAGGGAGGGAAGAAAGGAAAAGTATTGATTTCTGACTCCCTTTGGTGCAGTCGAATAAGATAATAGCATCAAACCTCAATTTTTTTTTACTTTTCCATAATAGTATAAACTAGCCATTTCTACAACAGATCTATCTAATCAATAAAACCCACAAATCAAAGTTTCATTTCTTGTTCCACCTCAAGCACAAAGTCCAGAAGCGGTTTCCAAGTAGAAACAAAAGTACTTGTCTTTTTTATTACTTTTATCAAAACACACAACTTACGACCACCATTGAGCCCTGAAATTCTATTGTTGAAAGTGAGACAGTTAAGAATTTTTCCATCTTAATTAGTTCGACCTTGACGCAAGAGGCGGCTTGTGCCTGGCGTCACATTTGCAAATGTTGCTGTCTTTATTTTGAGTGACCCACGTTTTTTGTTTTTTTTCAACCTTGGCAACATTTTTAAAGAGGTTCTGGACTTCCACTCCCAGAATTCTTTGTCAGCTGGGGGGGAATTCTGGGAGTGGAAGTCCGCCCATCTTAAAGTGGCTCAGCTCGGGAAAAGCAGCTTCGAACAATTTGGAAAACGCCACCTTGGTTTGAATTTGGTTTGGGAAGCAGGTGGAGACCTTTTCTATTCGTTTCAGCCAGGGTTTACATTCTTCCGGGGAAGTGTAGTAGCATCAGAGACAGTGGTGGGATTAAACCAATGTAACAACCAGTTCGTCTAAACCGGTACGTACCGGCTGAATCCCACTCCTGGTCAGGGACTGTAAATTGAACCCAGAACACTCTTGGCACCAGTTAAAAACAAGGGGGCCTCTCTGTTACTTTGTCCGCTGAAGCCTGTTATAAGCTGATAGGTTGGAGGGCAGGAAGAGGGGTGCATTGCGGGAGAGCCAGTGAGTTCAGGAACCTTCCATGTATCCCATCATCCCCAGCCGAGCTTTTGCGAGACAGTCTGATAGTTAACCGCTGCTGAAGGTAGGTAAACCAAGACTACTGAACGTGGACTCTAGAAGGCTTTGCTTGATGAATAATTTGAGGGTTGTTATTATTATTATTATCATTATTATTATTATTATTACGGTTATTTCCCTTATTTTATTTTATTTGGAACCCGACCATTTGGTTTATTTTAATCGCTTGATTTCTTTGCATTCCAAACTTCCCTGTTGCTTTTGATTGTCTGTCGCTGAGGTTTTTTGGGGGGTGGGAGGAAGAGGAGGGCGAGTTTAAGAAATTGGGATGTGTGAATTTTACAAGAGTTGATGAATTATTTTAAAGCGATAGCAGCTTGGGAATCAACGCTCCTCACCCCTGAACACAAACCTCTAAACCAGGGATCTCCACATTTGGCATCTACTTCAAGATTTGGGGGGTGTTGGACTAGAACACACCTCCCGGGTCCCTTTCAACTCCGCTATTATTCTGTTAAGACTTGTGGACTTCAACTCCCAGAATTCCTCAGCCAGCCAAGACTGGGGAATTCTGGGAAGTGAAATCCGCCAGTCTTAAAAGTTGCCAAATTGGGACAACCTTGCCCAAAAGAAACCAGGAAGCCCAAATGAGAATTTCCTTGAGCCTCCTGAAATTAAAGATTAGGTTTTTTTAACCAGATTTTATCAGCTGTAAAGCTTACCAGAAGTTCAGAAACATCTAAATTACAGCTAATTCTCGACTTACAACCCATTCCTTTAGCAACCAAAGTTATAACGCCATTGGAAAAAAAAAGTGACTGAAGACCCGTCCTCGCATTTATGACTGTTACAGCGTTCTCACACTTACGCGCGATCAAAATTAGGTCGCTGGGCAACCGACGTGCATTTACGACGGGCTGTAGCCTCCCGAGTCACATGAAAGCCATTTGCGACTTTCCCAGCCGGCTTCTGACCGGAATGGGGGCGGGGGGGGAGCTGGATTCATTTAACAACCGTGTGATTCACTTAACAACTGCAGTCTTTTACTGAACCACGGAGAGAAAAGTTGTAAAATCAGGTGGGAATGCTTAACAATGGAAATTCTGCTCTCAATGGCGGTTGTAAGTCGAGGACTACCTGTAGAACTCGCTAGCAAGCCTCTTTCACGGGGTACCTAACTGAAGATAGGAAGGTGAATATGAATCAGGCCCTTTTTAAACCAAAAAGAGGGCAAATCTGCCCCATAAACATTTTCCTTCTCTAATAATGCTGGTTAACACTGACCAGTCTGACACCTGGAGGGCATCCAGTTGAAGAAATCATTGGAATGAATGAATGAATGATAGGTAGGTAGATAGGTAGATAGATATAGATTGATATAGGTAGGTAGGTAGGTAGGTAGAGATAGATAGATAGATAGATGATATAGATTGATAGATAGATAAATAGATTGATAGATGATATTGATAGATGATATAGATGGATAGATAGATGATAGATAGGTAGAGATAGATGATAGATGATAGATAGATGATATAGATAGATGATAGATAGAGATTGATAGATGATAGATAAATAGATAATATAGATAAATGATAGATACATTGGTTGATAGATAGATGATGTAGATAGATGATAATAGATGATAGATAGATGATATAGATAGATGATAGATAGAGATATAGATTGATAGATGATAGATAAATAGATAATATAGATAAATGATACATTGGTTGATAGATGATGTAGATAGATGATAATAGATGATAGATAAATAGATAATATAGATAAATGATAGATACATTGGCTGATAGATAGATGATGTAGATAGATGATAATAGATGATATAGGTGATAGATAGATGATATAGATAGATGATAGATAGATAAATAGATACATAGATTGATAGATGATATAGATAGACAGACAGAAAAACAAACAGATAATGGCTAGATAGGTGATAGATGATATAGATAATGATAGATAGATAGATAGATAGATAGATAGATAGATAGATAGATAGATAGATAGATAGAAAGAAAGAAAGAAAAACCTTCTTTCTGCTCTGGCCACTAAAAGCCTTAATCATGGTTATAAATCTCTATTTGCAGCCTGCAGATTAACGAACGGAGACGATGTCCACCATTCTCCCTTGGTTGCCAAGAGGGAATCCTGGAAAGTGATGGATCCCTCCTGGCTTCTAGGCCAGATTGGGAAAGAAGCAGCTTCAGGGATGAGATGTGGCTGCTTTTTGGTGGAATTGTAGACGGACTAAATCCCGGCAGTCCTGAGTTTTTCCCAATGATGGGAATAGGATGGACGGTGGGGAGGATTTATCCCTTTGATAGGAATGGAAGAGGCACAATGTTCTATGCCGGTGTTTCTCAACTGTGGGGATTTTAAGATGGGCGGACTTCAACTCCCAGAATTCCCCAGCCAGCCATGGCTGGCTGGGGAATTCTGGGAGTTGAAGTCCACCCATCTTAAAATCCCCACAGTTGAAAAACAACTGATTTATGTGCTCTTTTTATGTTACAGTTTGTCACTTACAGCTAAAATATCAAAAGGAAAGTGTATTCCACAAAGCAGCGCCCAGGCCCTGACTAGCCCCCAACCAGAGAGTCAGAAACTCAAGATGGCTGCCACAATTGTGTCATGGCGGGTGCCATCTTGACTTTTTCGACCCGCTATGTGCCAGCTAGCCCAAGCCATGTGTGTCTTGAGTTGCGTTGCCTGCTTGCCTTTCCCCCGTTAATCCTTCGTTTATTTCCATTTTCATGGAAAAGAAGCCCATTTTTTTTTATTGGTTTTATTGATTGATTGATTGATTTCCAGATTTTATGCTCCCCGACCAATTTTTTTTTCTTTTTTTTTTCTTTTTGGTGCGTTTCGTTTTGGGTTTTTTTGTTATCATTTTTGTTTCTTTTTTTTTTCCTTTTATCTTTCCTATATTTTGTTTTCCGCCCGCCCCCTCTTCTCCTCCCCCCCTCCCCCCCGATTCCCGCCACCCCAAACTACCCCTCCCGCTACCGTAGAACCGTCTGCCCCCCCTCAAGACGTAAAATGTGTCAGCACCAGGTCCACGGCCATTCTGGTAAGTTGGCAACCACCTCCCGTTGAGAGCCAAAACGGTGACTTGGAAGGCTATAGCGTCCGGTATCGAGGCCTGGATCCCGAGGTCAGCGAATTGAAAGAGGTGAAGGATATCCCTGCCACAACCACCCAGATCATCCTGGAATCCTTGGAGAAATGGACAGAGTACCGCATCACCGTGGTGGCGCATACGATTATGGGGCCCGGCCCGGAAAGCTCGCCCGTCATTGTCCGTACCGACGAAGATGGTAAGTGGGACTTCTCCCTAAATTTACTTCCGTCTGTGTTTGTAACCTGCCTTTATTACTTTGACAAATAACCCAAGGCGGTCAACATAGTCGCCTCCTATTTCCTCCATAACAACAACTCTGTGAGGTGGGTTAGGCTGAGTGAAAGAGACTGGCCTAAAGTCACCCAGCCGGCTTTTATGCCTAAGGTGGGACTAGAACTCACTGTCTTCTAGTGATTGGCCTAAAATCACCCAGCTGGCTTTCATGGCTAAGGCAGGACTAGAAATCACTGTCTCCTGGTGATGGGCCCTAAGTCACCCAGATAACTTTCATGCCGAACACAGGACTAGAATTCATCATCTCCCAGTGATTGGCCCAAAGTCACCCAGCTGGCTTTCATGCCTAAAGTGGGACTAGAATTCACAATCTCTAGATGATTGGCCCAAAGTCAAGCAAAGAGACTAGAACTCACCATCTCCAGATGATTGATGCAAAGTTGTCCAGCTGACTTTTCAGGACTAAAGCAGGACTAGAACTCACTGCCTCCTGGTGATCGGCACAATGTCACTCAGCCAGCTTTCGTGCCTAAGGCAGGACTATAACTCCTCATCTCCTAGTGATTGGCTCAAAGTCACCCAGTTGGTTGTCATGCCTTAAAATAGGACTAGAACTCACCATCTCCTGGTGGTTGGCCCAAAGCCTCCAGCCAACATTCATGACTAAGGTGGGACTATAACTCACCATTTCCTGATTTCGAATCTGGTGCCTTAACCACTGGGCCAAACTAGTTGGTTCCTGGATGAAACAAAACGGACGGGGGGGGGGGGGGGGCTTGTTTTAAGATTCAAACGTAATTCCTGTTTGCTCCCACCCCCAGAAAGCAACATAAGGCCTACCTGTTTTTAAAATAACACCTCCCTTTCCGTGTGAGAAAGTGGGTTTTCTCGTTGCCAAAAACTCCAGAGACATTTTCTCTTTGGCTTCTGGATTAGGAATGGGTTTTGTTTTGTTTTGTTGATCCAAAAATCAGTGTTAACCTCTCGCAGAGGATTCAGCCAGGTAGAGCCAAGCCAATTCTCCCACGGAGAGGGGTTGTGAACAGCCATTAATGAATTTCTAATGGCACTTTATTTATTTTTGAGCGTCTCATTTATCAAACTCTCTGGAAAAGGAACCTGGTAGGATGCCCAAAAGTCAGCTGGATAATGGAGAAAATGTAAAAGTATGGTGGTGCCAATTTCCCTGGGATGATAAAACTAACTCTGAGTATTTAAATCGGTGTCTCTGCAACTTGGCCACTTTAAAATGTATGGACTACAACTCCCAGAATTCCCCAGCCAGCTTTCCATACATTATAAAGTGGCCGAGTTGCAAATTTAAAAGCTCTTTTGGGGCTGTATTGAACTACAGGTAGTCCTTGACTTATGACCACAATTTCTGTTGAGAGGCGTTAAGCGAGTTATGGCTCATTTTACGACCTTTCTTGCCTCCCTTCGTTAAGAGAATCACTGCTGTCGTTCAATTAGTAACATGGCTATTCTAGCTTCCCCGGGACACTGCAACCGTCATAAATGTGAGCCGGTTGCTCAGTGTCTGAATTTTGATCACCTGACCACGGGGATGCTGCAGTGGTCATAAGTGTGAAACACAGTTGTAAGTCGCTTTTTTTCATTGCCGTGGTAACTTTGAATAAATGAAGCTGTTGTAAGTCAAGAACTATCTGTGTATGGAACAATCTGCTTTTTTTAAAAAGAAACTGTTGCCCTGTTTTGATTTTCTAAGCCCATCATTTTTTTATTTACACCGATAAAATCCTCCCCAGTTGAAGTATATCCTTGGAACCAAGTTAGGATGACTCACCACTAATGGCTGGAAAGCCAAGCTAACTTTTCATAAAAGGTAGAAACTGGCAACTCTAAAAAGACCATAGAAATATTTTATTTTATTTTATTTAGTAGTTGCCATAAAAAAAGGGTAGGAGGAAAAATATCTGGAAGAGCAATGCAGCAATTTGAAAGCAAAAGAACATTACAACTCTTCTCTTCCAAAGATTGTAACTCAAGTACCAGAGCGATATTTTATTGACCCGACTGTGCCTGATTCCCCCTAAAGTTAAGAAAGATCCCTTCTTATTTATCCCTGGAAAAGAGGCCAGCAGGAGATCCCAATGTGGGTTAGATTGAGAACTCCCCAAAAATTCCTAGGAAAAGGCAGTGAAAAATCCCTTCCCAATTGCTCTCCCGAAAAATACAGGATTGAATCTACGGAGGTTCCAGAATGAAGCTTAAATCTGTGGCAATCTTTCTGTGTTCAGCCACAGCCGGATGGCTGAGAGTGTCAGGATTCCAGTAGTTATCCCCGATTAAGTCATGAACCTTAAGAGACAAGGAATAACGGATGGAAACTGAACAAGGAGAGAATCAATCTGGATTATTTCCAGATTTTCAGAGAGTGAGAACAATCAACCAAATGGAACAGAAGTTTTCTTTGGAAGCTGTGGTCACTTCATCACTGGAGGCTTTCAGGAAGAGATTAGACTCCCATCTGTCAGAAATGGCGTAGGGTCTCCCGCTTGGGCGGGGGGTTGGACTAGATGACCTACAAGGTCCCTTCCAACTCTGATTATCTGTTATCTGAGTCTCGAGCCAAACTTCCAAAACTAAACAGGATTTGTTGGGAGTTAACATGTCTGTACAACCTGGGTGTAGCCGACTCTGAGACACATAATTCACTGTCACCCTTGACCCTAGTTTTCCCCCCATCCCAAATGGGTGTATCGTAATTCATATCCTCCAATGGGACACAACCATAGCCCAGAGTCGTCATCAATCTTGTTCTCCAATTAGATTTTTTGCGGGACAGAAACTTCAGTCCCCTAGTTACAATCTCTGAAAAGCTATTTATGGAATGCACTTTCAATTTCCAAGCTGCCGCACTGCTCTTTCAAGCCCCTCCCCCCCGCCGCCATTTCTGTTGGCAACAGTAAAACAGGCATAGAACCGTTTTATGAGTTGACAGAGAGATTATTAGAAACTGTAGTGGCTTCTTGGTTTATATGACAACAGTGCAATTTGTTGGCCAAGGTCCTATGTCTTCCTACTTTTTAACCTAGTTAAAATTTTTACCTAGTTTGCTCAGGGAGTCCTCGACTTACGACCATAATTGAGCCCAACACTTCCGTTGCTAAGCAAAGACGGCCGTTAAGTGAATTCTGACCCATCTCACCACATTTCTTAACTGCCATTGTTAAGTCAATCCCAGCAGTCGGTAAGTTAGTCACACGGTTGTTAAGCGAATCTGGCTTTCTGCCCCCCCCCCCGACTTTGCGGGTTGCAAAAGGGAATCACGTGATCCTGGGACACTGCGACCCTCGTAAATATGAACCGGTTGCCAAGCTTCCAGATTTGGATAGGGATGCCACAACAGTCATAATGAAAAATGCTCATAAGTCATGGTTTTTTTGATGCTGTTGATCAAGGCTCATGATTGAATCGGAGTAACTGCCGGAATCCTGACAGTTGTCACTTCAGTCACTAAATGAATGATTGTAAGTCAAGGACTACCTGTATCCATGATGGTGAACCTATGGCACGTGTGCCACAGGTGGCCTGCAGAGCCATTTGTGTGTGCAATGCCACCACCCTCTTGCCTGCACTGTGCCCCAGCTGATTTTCGGCCTGTTTGAGGCCTTTTTCGGCCTCCTGGAGGCTCGAGGGAAGCCTCTGCAGCCTCGAGAGGCCGAAAAACGGGCCTTCCGGAAATACCAGAAGTGCTGAAACGGGCCTGTTTTTCGGCCTCCAAAGTCTGCAGAGGCTTCCCACGGACCTCCGGGAGGGCAAAAACGGCCTTCCTCAGACTCCAGAGGCTGAAAACGGTATTTCCAGAAGGCCCATTTTTCAGCCTCCCGAGGCTTTAGAGGCTTCCTTCGAGCCTCTGGGAGGCCAAAAAAGGCCTCAAACGGGCCAAAAATCAGTTGGGAGGTGTGCGCATACACAGTGCAGGTAAGGGGGCAAGGCACATTGCATTGTGGGTGTTGGCACAGGTGCGCTTTCGGCACACCACAGCAAAAAGGTTGGCCATCACTGACCTATATTCCACCAATAATTTTGCCCCAAGGTGATCAGCATGCCTTCTGCCCTTTAATTTAAGAAATTCCAACTTTGATCCAGCCCAACCTTGAGGTTAACAGGGCATTTTATTCCTTTTTGTCTTAGGAAATTTCCTAAATTATCCAAATTTAAGAGGGGTGGGGGAATTTAACGTGCTATCAGAGTAGAAGGAATAGCTGCAGTATATAAAAAAAATTTAAATCCAAGATAAGTTGATGACTGGTTTTTCACTGACTTATCTGTAAAGTTGCCATAGAGAAGAGACTTAATTAAGCTTTTTTTTTTTAACCCCTGGGAACAAATCAGAGTTCAGAGGGTGAAATACTTGGGGAAAACGCCAGCTAGAATTCTTCACTTCTCCAAATAAAGTTAGGGAAAGACTTTCTGAATTTAGTTTTATAGATAACCGCTTCTTTTCACTGGTTTCACGGTGACTTACAACCATGAAAACATCCGGCGAAAAACGTACCCTCAAATATATCAACAACAAAATGTCTCCACCGGTTAACACGGGGTAGTCCTTGACTTACGACCACAATGGGGATCAGGATTTTCATTGTGTTAAGCAAGGCAGTTCTTAAGCGAGTCACGCCCTATTTCACGACCTTTTTAGCTGTCTTCAGAAGAGAGCAGCCTTTGTCTGTCCAATGCAGTTGGACTGTTGAGTCGTGTCCGGATGGGTTTGTTCTCCTGTGTTGCACCACACGTTGATGAAGTGGCTGTTTTCTTTTTCCAATGTCTTAGATCTACACACGGCTCACCTTACATTAGGTTGCAAGTGACCTCCGGATGCTTCCGCTGACATAAATTACATGCCGGTTGCCAAGCACCCAAATTTTGATCACATGACTTAGGAGGATGCTGCAAGGGTCCCAAAGTGGGAGGAATGGCCCGTAAGTCACATGTTTCAGTGCCATTGTAACTTTGAATAAAAGCGAAATACCCCTCACGCATCATCACAAAATCTCCAGAATCGTGACGCCTGCACACTTGACATTTGGCACCTATGTTCCTCTTGGCTTCTAGGTGCTCACTAAGAAAGGATTTTTCAAAATGACCAACATCAGAGCGTTAGTATTTCCTATATTATTATTATTAACACGCTCTGATGCTAAGGAGTTCTACTCCCCCACCCCACCTGAAAAGAAATCTCTTCCAAATGCAAAACACGAGCAGAGGAGTTTTAGTTTCACAGCACCAAGCAGCTTTAGTACAGAACAGTTGAGCTAAGCCACACCCAGGCTCCTCACTGTCTCCTTGCTCACACAGCAAAAACTGTTTCACTTTCCAAACAGCCCTCAACTCTCTCACACACTGACAGGACGCTAGCCAGATGGATGCTGGTAGGCAGAGGCAGAATTTTTTTCCCCCCTTATTTTCCTCCCCAAAACTAAGACTGATCACATAGTTTCATAGTGAAGCCCGGGTATCGAGCTAGTGGTTATAAATGGATTTTTGTAAATTAAGGATTATCTCTGTGTATGTATGTGAGGGGGGGAAGCAGATCAAAAGAGATTAATAACTTCGTTTGAGATATTGCAGTGTCCATAACTCCTAAAAAGCGCTTTCTGATGCACTCTGTAGCATCTCTGTAGCGAAGTGCTCTAAAATGTGAGCATTTTAACATCTCCAGATTGGGCTTTGCAAGCCAGGTAGTTTTGCCAATTCAACCTCCACGAGGTTTTTATCACACACAAATCAAAGCAGCTAGTAACAAATTTGCGGCCCCTAACAGTCCTTGGTCACTGTGGGGTAAAGAACCAAATACATCATTCATTGTCTTCTCAAAGGGCGTCCCTTTATTTGTAATTCTGTATAGGGTACTCCCAGACTTACGACAGTTCATTTAGTGACTATTCAAAGTTACAACGGCAAATGAAAAAAAGTGACTTAGGACCCGTTTGCACACTTACGACCATTGCAGCATCGCGCCCCCCCCCCCCAGTCCCCCGTGTTCACATGATTTACATTCGGGTGCTTGACAACTAACTGATTCGTATTTATGACGGTCGCAGTGTCCCGGGGTTGTGCAATCCTCTTTTGCGTCCTTCTGACAAGCAAAGTCAATGAGGAAGCCAGATTCAGTTAACAACCGTGTGACTACTTGAACAACTGCAGGGATTCACTTTGTCAGGATTCCGGGACTTAATCCCAATTAAATCACACGAGTCTCGAGCCCAACTTCCAAAACTTCAAAAGGATTTATTGGGAGTTACATGTCCGGCACTGCCTGGGTGTAGCCGACTCTGAGGCACATCATTTACTGTCACCCTTGACCCCGGTTTTCCCCCCACCCCTCTGGGTGTATCCTAATTCATATATCCTCCAATGGGACACCTCCATAGCCCAGAGTCATCAATCATGCTCTCCAGTTAGATATTTGCCTGGCAGAAACTTCCGTCACCTAGTTACTATCTTTGAAAACATTTACGGAATGCACTTTCGGTTTCCTGAAAAAAGCAACTTATGACTGTTTTTGACACTTATGACCATGGCTGCATCCTCACAGTCACGAGATCAAAATACGGACGCTTGGCATCTGATTCCTATTTTGATGATGGCTGAGTGTCCCGGGGTCCTGTGAACCCCTTTTTGGTGACCCTCTGACAAGCCGAGTCAATGGGGAAGCCAGATTCACTTCACATCCGTGCGACTCACTCAACAACCGCAGTGATCTACTTAACAGCCATGGCAAGAAAGGTCATGAAAAGGGGCAAAATTCACTGTTTGTCTTAAGAATAAAAAATTGGGGGTTCAATTGTCATCGTACGTCGAAAACGACCTGTGTTTGTGAACGTACACAAAACACGCAGCGAGACACACACCGGCCAGCTTTGGCCACTGCAATGCAGTTCTGAATTGTGGCTCTCGCTAGACCCCTGGATGCACAAAACTGGGGCTTCCCGACATTATCTGAGCCGTGGTGGCGCAGTGGTTAGACTGCAGTACTGCAGGACTACTTCTGCTGACTGCTGGCTGCCTGCAATTTGGCAGTTCAAATCTCATCAGGCTCAAGGTTGACTCAGCCTTCCGTCCTTCCGAGGTGGGTAAAATGAGGACCCAGATTGTTGGTGGGACAAGGGGCTGACTCTGTAAACGGCTTAGAGAGGGCTGTAAAAGCACTGTGAAGCGGCATATAAGTCTAAGTACTAAATGGGAAGGAAAGGAAGGAAGGAAGGAAGGAAGGAAGGAAGGAAGGAAGGAAGGAAG